CTCACTATTATGTTTCTCTGAACTCTAGACACGTTGACTAAAAAACAAACAAACAAAAGAACAACCCTTTTTGGATACGAAAGGAGTAGACCTGCAACAATAAGGGGCTTCTGCAGGAGAGGAGCAGAGAGCAAACTGCTGCTAAGCTGTGAACTTTCCAATAGTGCTGACAGATACGCCTTGCTGTGCACCTAAGTGCCTTGTCAAGGAGGCTCACATTTATATAGTGCCATAAACTTACATTACAAACATGTGAGGCAAGGTCCCTGCAAGAGAAATAAAACCTTCTTATCCCAAGGACACCCGCACCCCAACAGCAAAGCAAAGCAAAGCCGCAGTGCCAATAAAGGCAGTCCAGCAGGCAGGCTCAAATAGGAAACCAAAATGCCTCCAGTCTCCCCTGAGGACAACCACAGATGCACCAGTGACAAGCTGAGGGAAGGAGCGCTGCAGATAAAGCTTTATCAGTGCCCAGGCATTCCCACCACCCCAGCCCTGATTGCCCCAGCAGTCTTTCAGGAGTAGGAGGTGACTGATAGGGGATGTGCAGAGGCTGCTGCCCTGGCCCCACTCCTGCACCCGCTGACATGCAAGGAAGTTGCCAGCCCCAGCTTTGTGCTCACCGTTAGGCCGAATGTTGATGAACGGATAGTTGGGCATCACCAGCTTGTTGAAGTTGAACTTGTAAGTAAACCTTTTGCCCTTTGTCTTGTGAAGAATCCTCTTGTTGTAATAATATCTATAAAAGAAAGGTAGAGAGACCAATCAAGGCACGTAGAGATCTGTTTTGAGTCTTTGTTCTGTAGTGCTACCAACGTCCACCTTTGACATACTCACAGAAAAGAACACGATGGGATCCAGAACTGACTTAGCTGACAGCCTGCACTGAGACACTGAACCTGAGAAAGGGGAATCCGTGCTCGAGACTTTGGCAGAACAAAACTCAGTGCAATCACAGAGGGACCAAACAAACTGGATGTCCTCTGATTTTATTTTCCCTTCTGTCCTCAAGGCCTAGCACACTGCCATAAACTCAGCACAGTGTTCAAAGCATCAGACTGCACATCAGGAGGGCTGGTTCCTGCTGCCATCAGGCCTGTGAGCAAGTTGCTTCCCTTCCATTTACCCATTAGCACCATAATTCACAGCCCCAACAAAGGCAGAGCACAGAACTCACGGGGAGAGGAGGTACAAACTGCACCACAGCCTCCTCCCCACTTACACCAGCACCACTGTTTGCCTTCAGCCATGTAGTAACGGTGTACTAAGGTGCTGCACGCAGATCCCAGGCACAATTCTTTACACTCACAGCTAAGTTAACACATGCTGTTGCCACAGCACACCCCAAACAAAGCAGCGTCAGCTCCTCAAGAAGGGGGGAACAAGCCAGAACTCCCACCTGGAGGAACTGTCAATAGCCACAGCTCCTGTCCCACTGCTGTCACATTTGGCATCGAGATGCCAAGACATGATCAGTGTTGGCAGGTGGTGGCTATTTTCCACTCCCATGAATCAATTACAGCCTCAGTGCCATTCAATTTATCGTTTCCTTCCTGTTCCAGCATGGGACTCGAGTGCTTGCTGCCTTGTTTGTCTTTGCCAGCTCCACCCAGGAGGTATCATAGGGCGTAAGGCAGCGAAGTCCACGTAGCAGACAGTGCTGATAATGCCAGGACCTGTCAAGAACCTGGGCTCTCCTGACAAGCTGGAAATGCTGAAATGCTTCATAGGCTTGTGTGACATTCTTGCTGTCTGTATTTCAAAATACAGATTAGCCACTGAAAAAACAGAAACCGTCTGAGAGAAGCTACATACAACAGGGCTAACTATTAAGGGAGATTTTAGTCTTCAGAAGTGCAGAGGGAGGAGCAATCAGCCCCTGTCTCAAATGAAGGGACACTGGTGGCTGGAGGGTGCCCTTCACCCACAGGCAACTTCATGTCACTGGGGTCAGGACACGGAATTCACCATTATATGTGACAAACTGTGAAGGGGGTGGTGACAGGTGACTGACACACACCCAATCCCTGGAATGGGCACCAGGTTTAGCAGTAAAGAGACAAAGGCATGTTAGAAAGGGGAGTTGCTTTCTCTGAAACGGTACCATTGATGGTGTGATAATAGAGTAACGCCTCTGGTTTCCTCCCACACCTTCTTGCTCAAGCCAGCATCAGCAGTGGAAGCAGTGAAAAAAGAGGCAGAAAAGCTCCCCGGAAGGAACCCATCCTGATAATAACAACCTGAGCACCAGGTGCAAATTTACGCTGTGACGCCTGGCCGCAAAACACGTCACGGTGATCCAGGAATTTCCTCTCCTGTGCCTCCCTGCTCACACTCTGGTACCTCACCAGGCAGTCTGGCACCCCAGAACACAGATTTGATACAAACCTCCCAAAAACATAGCTACGTTGAAGCAGAACACCTGCTGCCAGTTATCCAGATGGGTGGGCCAGGGAATCTCCTGCTCACCTGAGAGCTCGGCTCAGTTTGTCGTAGTTCATTTGGGGCTTGCACTTCCGCCGGCCCCACAGCCGTGCCACCTCGTCGGGGTCCTTGATGACGAACTCCCCGTACTCGCCCTGCTGCCAGGCAATGACATGGCGGAACTCCTCCTTCTGCAGCAGCTCCAGGATGAAGTGCCAGAGCTGGATCTGCCGCGAGCCAGGGCTGGACTCGGTCTTGTATGCCCACTCGGGGAAATGATAACCTTGGGAAGTGCCAAAAAAGAGGCGTTCAGACAGTGGCTCACAGCTACAGAACTCCCAAATGCCAAGTGCTACAGCTGGGAACGAGTGCCTGCGCTACGTATTGGTAATGTTCTTTCCAGAGGAGGACCACAGAGCATCGCTGGGAGCTGTAATTCCAATAAGTATTCAGTGCAGAAGCAAAAGAAGCCGAGATTTCTCACACTAGTTGCTCATTTTCTTACTCATTTTACCCCTACTCTCCTTGGAGAAGTCCCAAGGAAAAAACGGGAAAACACACAGGGGTATGAGAGCCATACAAGAGTCAGACAGAATGGAAAGGAGCCCAAGAGCTTTAAACATTGGTACGATTTGGACTTCAGGTGCCTCAAAATAATGAGAAAAACAAAAACAGATTGGAATATCTGGTTCTTCCAGGAGGCAAGCATGGGTGGCTGTGGGGGTCTCCAGCTCCCCATCCCCTCAGAGCACAGCACCCTGCTCCAGCCTCAGCCGCGCCAACAGATGTTTCTGAGCGACTGCCAAGTTCAGCTCTGTCAGAGCAGTTTCCCAGCACAGCTGCTATTGCGCGGTTTTCCAAATCATCGTGGCCACAATTTTCAGCTCAGGCAGCGTGCACAGAGCCTCGTCGTGCTCAGATGGCACCCACCCCCCCCCCTCCCACCTCCCCACATCGCAGGCTGTGGCTGAAACAAACCCAGGGAGCGCCGCGCCAGCCCCGGGGGAGCACACTTGGAGCTCCCAAACCCTCACAAACAAAATGTCTCCACGAGGATCCATTTGCATATTAACACAGAGCTCACGAGGCTGTAAAACTGGCTGAGAGTGCACCGAGCGGGAGCCTTATCGATTCCCAGTGACACACAGCAAAGAGCTTTGAGGAGAGGTGGAATTAATCCCGCCTGAGCTCCTTCAGCCTGGGAAAAGAATTTGTAACAGCTGAACACCCTGCGCTCAGCCTTCCACGCGGCGCGCGTGTCCTTACCTCCTCCTCCTTCTGGCTTATCCACAATGCTGCAGCCTGCTTTCATTTTCTCCCTCCTGCTGACTGCGAAACAGAAGGAAATCAGCGCCAGCGCTATCGCTACACCGACCTCGCGGGCAGCGCTTTGAATCCCGGCCCTCCCCTCCCTGCACCCACAGCCCACGGCCGGTGCCCCCGTCGCCGTGCAGCTGCACCGCGGGGCGTCGGGCTCTGCTCGGCGCTGCCGTGTCGGAGCGGCCCGGCGAGGCCGTGAAGCAGACAAAACAAGCCCAGTGCAGTTTGTCTCCTGTTACGAGACGGCCGCGCTGCCAAAACACACAAGCCGCTGAGCTCACCCAGATGTACCAGCGAGGGGAGGGGGGATCCCGGCTCCCGCTCCCCACTCACATCTGACTTTAATTTCGGGAGGCGGGCGCCGGGCCGGGCGCTACCTGCGGGCGGGGCAGCGGCACCGAGCGGCGCCCGGGGAGGGCCCGGCTCCGGGGGGGGTCGGGGGCGAACGCCGCCAGCCCTGCCCGCCGCGGAGGGGGCCCGGCCCCGCGCTGTCCCCGCCGGGGTTTCCTGCCCGGCGCCGCCGCTTTGAAATGGTAACGCCATGTAAATAGCTGCGAGGGGCAGGCGCGGCGCCGGGGCTCCGGGCTCCCGTTACAGCGCCGGCGGCGGGGCCGCCCCCTCCGCTCCCTGCCGCCGGCCTGTCCGGGCCTGCCCGCCCGCCGCCGCGCTGCCGCCCCTGCCCCGGGCTGCGGGCGCTGGCTCCGCGCCCCCCCCCCGCTACTACGCCCGCCAAGATCGGGCCGCGCGGCCGCCCCCGTTACCATCACCCCTCCTCCGCCGCCATCCCGTCGCTGCCGGTTATCGGTACGCTTCTCCACGCCGCCCCCGCAGCCGCGCGCCCCCGCTCGCCTCCCGCGCGCTGCCGCCCACCCGCACGGCTCCCTGCAGCCACAGAGCCCCCACCCCACCGAGCGCCTCCGGTACCCGGGGCTGCCCCGCTCCTCCGCCCCTCCCTCCGGGCCCACGGTACCGCGGCCCCGCGCCGCCCCCGCCCCCCGGAGCCGCCCCCGAGGGCACCCCCGCCCCCAGCGGGCGGCCTCCGCCCCTCCGTCCGCCCTCCGTCCGCCCTCCGCTCTCCCCCCGCCGCCCCCGCGGGACCGAAGCGACGCGCGCGGCGTGGCCCATCCGGAGCCCGGGAGGCGGCAGTAACGACTCGGCCGCGCCCGGGTCCGGGACCCACCTGCGGGGGCGGCGCGGGCCGGGCCGGGTCCGGCGGGCGGAGCGGGTGCGGTGGGGCGGCGGAGCGCGCCCGGGCCGCGGTGCCGATGGGGGGTGCGCGCCGCTCGCCTCGCTGCTGCCGCCGCTGCCTCCCCCGCACGGCCGCCGGAACCGGAACCGCCGCCACCGCCCACACACTTCCGGGCACGCTCCCACGCACTTCCGCTTCCGGTCGGAGCGGGCGCGCGCACGCACAGCGCCGCTCCGCCTCATTCCCACCCCGCGCCGCGACGGGTGGCGCCGGGGGACAAAAGAGGGTGGAAAGCGAAGCGCCCCGAGGGGGGGGCTGGGGTCTCGATGCGCTCAACCCGCTCCCCGCAGCCCCTCCGCGCACGCGGACGCTCTGTCCTCTTCTCTGCCTTTACTGGGGCCGCGGGGAGCGCCGCCAGGCCCGTGTTCCCGTGTGGGGAGGAAGGGGAAAAAACAGGGGGAAATAAAGCAAGATGGGGGCAGGCTGTCCGTCCGTCCGTCCGTCCGTCCGTCCGTCCTCGCTCAGGCTTGCGGCCGCGCCGTGCCATCCCCACCGCTGCCCACCTCGCTGTAGATGGTTCTGCTGGGACCCTGGAGGGGATGCGGGAGCGGCGCAGGGTCGGGGGGGGCTCTGCGGGGACGTTGCCATCCCCCCCCGCTGGGTGCCGGGTCACCGCCCCACCTGCTCGTCCTCGTCCTCGACGTCCCTCCTTTGCACCTGGGAGTACAGCAGCTCCTCGGGGCAGGCGGCAGCTGTGGGGCAGGTGAGGCTATGAGGGATGGGGATGCCCCCCCCCCGCCTGCCCGCAGCCCCCCAGGCTGCAGCCTTCACCCCACGGCAGCGCCCACCTCTGTCAGCCTTCCTCCTCCTCCTCCTCCTCAGCAGGTACAGCGCGATGCTCGAGGCTCCCGCCGCAGCCACCAGCACTGCCAGGTAGATGGGCCACCTCCACCTGCGTGCCTCTATGGGGACAAGGCACTGGGATGGCCGATGGCTCTGTGCACCTGGGGGGGCAGGGGGGGGACGGTGATGGGCTTTACCTCGTGCGCACAGTTCTGCCACGTCCACGGACTTGCTTCGCTCCTGTGCCGGGTTCCAGGCCACGCAGGTGTAGGTGGCATTCAGGGCGCTGGCAGGGACGGTCAGATGCAGCATGTGCCTCTTGTCACTCTGTCCCCAAGTTGCACTGGAGGTGTTGTCGTGCCGCCAGGTGGTCTGAGCACCGCTTCCAGCCGGCACCGAGCACCGCAGGATGATGCTGCAGTCCTCGGTGCTGTAGGACAGCATCTCGTGCTGGATCAGGGGCGCTGGCACGGGCTCTGTTGGGAGTGTGGGCAGTGCTGCTGGGACGGAGCTACCTGCAGGTACCTGGGGAATGCAGCCTCAAGGAACCGGGAGGGACAGGCAGACAAAGGGCAGCGAGAGAGAAGTGCAGGTGGAGAGCAGATTTGTCATAAAGCAGGAAAATCCCCTTAGCAGATGGTCAGCAGCAGAGTGTGCCCAGGAAAGGGGAAGGGAAACCGCTGATAAGTCTCAGTACAAAAGGGTTTTCGCTTCTCCCTGCGGGCTGTAAACCCCAGGGATGGGGATGGTGTTCCTGCCCTCACAAAACCCCTTCAGCTCACCGTAGACGGTGAGGTTGAAGGAGTCTTCATCCACCTGTGATGAGTGATACGTGATGTGTGCATCATAGACCCCGCTGTCGCACTGCTCCAGGGCGTTGATCTGCAATGTTGTCTCATTGAGCAGCTCCAGCCGCTGCCTGTTGTACTTGAGGTGCTCGGACGTCTCCAGGTTGTACTCCGCCACTTCTACTTTCTTGCTGGCGTTGGCTCTGAAGCTCCAGATGATCCTCTTCACACTGCTGCCAGGGTGCAGCTGCGGGGGGAGCTGCACCGAGTGCCCCAGCACACCGCTCACTGGCTTGATCTGGACTGCTGCAGTGCCTGATAGGACAGCAGTGCTCAGTGGGATGGAGAGTCCCAGGCACCTCCTGGGTTCTTTAACCTTCACCATCACCTCCCCTGCTTGTGGCTGGGCACTGCTGTGCTGATGCCGCGTGCTCGCAGTGCTGCAATGTCCTCACGCCACCCTGTCCCCTTTGCAGGGCTGGAGGTGGAGCAGGCTTAAGGGTGAAGCCCATAATTATTCCCTCCAGAGACCCTTCAGGGCTGGAGGCTGAGCTGCAGGGTGCAGCGGGGCTGGGTGCAGAGCTCCGTTCCCAGCCCTGTGGCGAGACACAGAGCTCCTGTGACGTGGGCAGGCGGCGGCTTTCAGACACGAAAAGCTGCAAAGAGGCAACCATGCTGGGGACTGCTGTCCCCCCACATCACAGGGCCCATCCTGTATCGGCCGCTCGCTTCCTGCCCACACTCAGGGCCAGCCACATGGTTCCCATCCACTGCACCAAGCTCCAGTTTGCAGAGAGGAAAGCAAAGCTGCAGGGGCAGCACGCAGACAGCAAGCAGCGGTGGGGCCAGGGTGGGGGGTCACAGCCCCATGGCAGCCACACATCTCCATTTTTTGGGGGGGATGCTGATGTAAAGCAGGAACACATCCCCGTGAATCACCCGTGGTGGCGCTGAGCCACCTGCCCATATTTTGCCCCAAACAAATGCCCCACACCAGCGTGCAATGCAAACACGACCTCTGCAATTCCAAGCTCAATCCTGCTGTGGGAAGCTCCTGGGTGTTGTCTGCTCATTCCTTCCCTTTCCCCATCCCTTTCCCTGGCCCCAAACGCTCACCCTGGAGTCTTCTGGCTGGTGGGGGCTGCACCTGCTCATTGGAGAACAGTGGGCGCCTGGCTTTGTCCCGGTGCAGCCCCAGCAGCACTGAGCAGCTTTTGCACAGCAGAGCATCTGCTCGAGAGCTTCGAGCTGTGCAAGAGGACCCCTGTGGGCTCTTAGAAACGTGTGGGTGAGCAGAGACCAGCATAAAACCCAGCAGTTTTCAAGCCAACATGGAGCAGGGCAAGGTGCAAATGGTCCCACCTGGTTCCAGCCCCATTGCTGACAGCAAACTTCTCCAGGTGTGATTTATGCTGTCAGTAAATAGAGTCGGGTGATGCCGTGCCTGGTGCCAAGTTCTGCCTTTACCCAGGGATCATGTCCACACATCCCCAGTCAGATTCCCCCGAGAACAGCGCTTGGACCCTTTCACAGAGGAAAACCGATCTCCCACCCCTCTTATTTCCCAAATATTTTCAAACCTTCACCAAACCCGAAGGCTGAATCTCATTCAGCCCCACACTCATGGTTTCACCGGGTTCCCACAGCAGCAGCATTGCTGCTGACCCCTCCTCCCACCTTCAGCTCTCCCCCCACCCCGTCCGCGCTCAGCCCCTACCCGTGGTGACAAGTAGCAGAGCCAGCAGCCTGGTGACGAAGGGACACCTTTGGCCACACGGTTGCCCCATCTCTCCATCCCCAGCTCGAGGCAGCAGCAGCCTCAGCTGCGCAAGCAGTGTGGAGGACGCATGCAAATCTGCCCACAGGTTCCTGGGGAGTGGCTGCTTGGGGACAACGTGAGACCCTGCCCAGCCCCATGGTAGCTCTGCGATGTATCCAGGGCTCCTGGGCAATAAATGAGGGATGGAGCCCGGATGCTGCCGCTGTTGGGTAAATAACAGCAGCTGGGCTGGCTGTGCCAGACATCTGGCACGAGGAGCGCATGTTCCCCATTGCCTGAGACTGCACCAAGAGAATGCTCCCACCCCGCCAGGCTGGTTTCCCCGCCACTTTTTTTGAAGCAAAATCCCAGCAGCAAAAAGGCAGAGACATAAGAACGTTGGAGGCAGCCCCACGCCTGCAGGGGAATGGAGGATTTGGAGAAGCACACTGGGTTGGGACAGTGCAGAGCCCCTCAGCGCTGCTGCTTCTGTGTTTCCAAAATGGGGGAGCAAGAAGTGGCTTCTGGGGAGGCAGCAGCAAACTGTGCACAGCCCTGGGATGACGTGACTGCGAGGAGTCCACATGTGGGTGTGCGCAGCAGATGTACGCCTGCACGCGCAGCCCCACACACACAGCCCCACGCACGGCCCCACGCACGCTGTCGGCTCCCTGCTACGCTCTCACCAAGATTTATTTGCTGTTTTTACGACGTGGGGAGGTCGGGCCGAGCACGGGGCCCATGACAGTAGGTGCTGGACACACACAAGTGAAACTTCCCCCCTCCCCCCCTCCCCCTTAATGGCAGCACATAGGCGACACAGGAATGGCTATGGGGTGGGGGAAGAGCGGGCACATCTCCCACAGGCATTGGTCCCCTCACACGGCCCTGGGGATGTCACCATCAGGGTCTGCTTGACCTCAGGAGAGGGGGCTGGGAGCAGCGGGGGTGGGGGGGCAAGCTGCCCCATATGGTCCCATCCTGGATCTGCAATGCTTGGACCTGCCCCCGCCCACCCAACTTTGCCTCCACTTGACCCCAATTCCTCCCTCCCCCCCCCAAAAAATAAAGGTTTTGGTTCCCCTCTTCTTGCTCCAGGGCAGCCCACTCTCTCAGCTGGCAGAAATGGGGCTGGGACGCCCAGCTGTGTGGGTGATGGAGCCACATCCCAGCCCTGTGCCAGAGGAGGGACTCAGCCTCATCGTTGCCGCTCATCTCCATGTCCCCAAAGGGGCCACGAGGGCTTCGGACAGAGGGTTGGACAAACCAGAGGTGGGTGGGGAAGCATCCGGCTGGCTGTACCCAGAGATGGCACCTCCATCCCCGGAGCCAAACCAGGGGCTGGAGAGGGGTCGGGTTTGGCACACAATGCACGTTACAGCCCTTCAGTTACATCCTGATGCTCCAGCGCTGTCGGCGCCTGTGGGGAGAGAAATCCTTCAGCTGGGGCCAAGGGCTGCCCCGTCTGTCCATCTGTCCGTCTGTGCACCTCCCTGCAGACAGTGCTTGTCCCTCCTCTCCCCTTTCTCCACCATACCCGGACCTGGCGTGGGCACGTCATGCAGTGACAGAGGTGGGGAGTGCCCCCCACGCCCCGGTCCCCCCGGGGGCAGACACGGCCACGGGCCACCCGCACCTGAGGGCCTATGTCACCTCCTCGGCCGTGTCCTCTGGCTCCTGGTGGATCTGCTCATACACGGTGCTGCCCGGTGCTTTCTCCGTTGAGGTCGGCTCTGGGTTGTTTTCAGGGGGACGTAGGCCCTAAGGCAGAATCGAGGTGCTTATGGCCCTTCCAACCCCGATGTGATGGGGACCCCAATGCAATGGGGACCCCTGAGCACAGGCCAGCCCCATTGCTCCTCACCTGGTCATTACCTTCCGGGGGGCTGCGGTGCACGATCTCGGTGTACTGCGGCTCTGGGGGGCTCTCCTCTGCCGGTGCTGTGGGGGTGGCAGCTGCAGGGAGCGGGATGTGATGGGGGGGGGGATGGCCAGGAATGGCTCTGATCACAGCTCAGCTCTGAGTGCTTTCACTGACCTGGATCTGCTGACTTCTCGCTGTTGAGCCGCCAGCACCAGAAGGCTCCGCCAAGGCTGACAGCCAGCAGGATGAGGGTGAGGACGATGTACCCCGACTTGGAGAAGGACACCTGTCCTCCTGGAAGACACAGATAGGGGCTGAGCCAGGGGATGGCCATGGGACCTTCACCCAACCTGAGGGCACCCAAGGGTGCTCGGATCCCTGAAACAGCCCGGCTCCTCACCTCCGCTGCGGCAGATGCTCTGCAGGTCGAAAGGGACGACCTTCTGGTCAGCAGGGTTGCTGACAGTGCAGGTGTAGGTGGCGTTGGCGGTGCCAGGCTGCAGGGCCAGGCGCAGCGTGGTGCCATCCGGGGACAGCTGCGAGCGGTCCGTGCCCAGCTCCTGCCGGCCGTTGTCCCTCCTCCAGGTGACGTTGACGGCCCCTTTGCCAGTGCCCTGGCACTGCAAGGTCAGGTTGCACCACTCCAGGGTGCTGGCCAGCAGTTGGCTGTGGGTCCGGGGCCTCGGCACCGACTCTGCACCCAACAGGGAACGGGTCAGCACGGCATGGCTATGCTCAGACACATCACACTGTCCTGCATCAAGGGGCAGGGCACAGCCAGCCCGCAGGTGTTTGGGGTGATGTGAGAAGGGGCCCCAGTATGGGGGGCTTGGAAGGCTGAGCATGGAACGTGAAAGGTTGGGCTCTAACCTAAGTCATCTCATTGCCCTGCACCACAGTTTCCCCGTTTCAGTGTTCCCAAAGCCCACCCCCCATTTGGCAGCCGCTCACCGTAGACAGAGAGGTTGAAGGATTGGTCCTCCACCAGCGCCGGGTGCAGTTTGATCCGTGCCCCATAGACCCCGCTGTCTCCCAGCTCCAGGGTCCCGATCCTCAGCGCTGTGGCGTTGGGCATCTCCAGGCGTTGCTTGAAGCGGTCCTGGGGGTCAGGGCGCTCGAAGCCCCCTGGGCCAAATTCAGCCACCTGGATGGTGGCACCGGCACCAGAGGAGAAGCTCCACTCGATCTCCTTCACCCTGCTGCCAGGGGGCAGCACCGGGGAGAGCAGCACCGAGCCCCCCAGGACGCCAGACACCTGCTGGGGCTGCGCCCGCACCTGGCCAAACAGGAGCTCTGGGGACAACAAGGCAGAACGTCACCAGGGTGCGGGGTACAGCGTGGGGATGGGCAGAAGGATCCCTGGGGACGGGTCCCACCCGGCACCGCAGTCCAAGCTGGAGGAAGAGGATGAGGAAGAGAAAGCATCGCCCTGCCCGGTTGCAGACACATCTGCTCTCTGCCCAGCGCAATGTCCCTCTGCGGGATGGGGACACCACGGAGGCCGTGCGGAGCTGCTGCTAGCGGGGAGGGGAGGTTGCCAGGGTCGAGAGCTGCTGTCCAACAAGAGCTACAGTGTTCGGATGCCGAAGCTGCATCTGAACGGCGCGGTGTAGGCACTGCGGCCGGGCGCTCACCGGAACAATGCTCCAACAGACTCTGCGAGGAGTTCCCCGCCAGCATCTGCAAAACCTCATTGTCCGCCTTAAAACGCGCCTTGGCCCAGATGCCTACGAAAGATCACAACAGTTACGGCAGCAGGACTGGAGCGGACCAGGATGGATCTGGCTCCGGAGGGATGCTCGTGGGCACGCACCGGTCCTGCATCCCACTGCCGCGTGTGGGTGAGCGTGGGGACATGGAGGGGACCGTGGGTACCCAGGAGGGATGGAGCCACCTCCAGGACTTTGGATTTTTGGCAGCTCCGGCAGCGCTCTGCAGTCACGCTCAGCACCAGCTCCTGGCACCGGCAGCTCCCGCCTACCTACAAGCTGTCTCCTCCACCGCCTCCAGCCCTGCCGGCAAGGGAGGGCCAGCATCTCCTCAAAGCCCCCCACCACCTGTCCCCGTTCTACACACTGGGATACCCAGCAGTGAGGCCAGGCTTTGCCCCATCCGTGCTGGGACCTGGGCAAAGTGTCCCCACAGTCCTCTCCTCTCCCCCCACCCTGACAGAAGCAGATGTGCTTCTATATTAAAGCAGATTAAAACCAGACATCCCAGCGTTCGCTTTATAAAAAGCCCTCGTGCAGCCTGAATTACAAGCTGCTTCTTGGCTTTGCTGGGGAAGCAGAGCTCTCCACTGCCGGGCACTTGCTGCTCTGATCCTGCACATCAAGGGGCTCTTCTGGGTTCTTCCATCGATCACAGCCTTATGCTGGGCTGAGCCCCACTCCCTCCCATCCTGCGTGATCCTTCCCTGGGGGATCCCTACATTTTGGAGCCCAGTTGTGGGCTGGCACGTGAGCCCTTTGCACAGATGTTGAGCAGATGCTGAGCCCCAGGATGCGGTGAGGGGAGGAAGGGGGGGGGGGTCACCACAGCCCCCAGCACACAGGGGAAATGATGGCTGGAGAAAGCAGGAGGGTGTCCGGCCACCACCATCACCTCCTGTCCTGGTGGCTTGAGGCCAGCGGCCCCCAGAAATAGTTTGGGAGAGGAAGGAAGGAAGGTGTTTGCAGTGCACCCCGACCCAGCTCAGATCTCAGACCTCAGCAAAAGATCTCTGAAGGCGATTTAAACCCAGGGTTTATTTGACACACATCAAGGAAGCTTCACTCTTTCATCACCCCCACGCTCCCAAAGCCGATACCTCTGATCAAGGCGGCCTAGAGGACCCGCAGCCCCCCCAGCAGCCCCTCTGCCATCGTGCAGGGCCATATTTGTGCCACCATACGCACCCTGTGCCGCCACCGCCAGCCCCGTGCGACGGCCGCACGCTCCGAAGCCAATTAAGCATTAGGAAGATAAAAGCTCCCTGCTAATCTGCCCGGACTAGAAGATGCTTTCTGTCGGAATCGAGGGTTTTATGGGAATTATTAAATGTGTGGATTAGCACGCTGGGAATTAAGGGGATTCCTCTCTCAACGTTTTACGTAAGAGCCTCAGCAGCACAGCGCGGGGCTAACGGGCTCCGTGGGGCGCGAGCGGCGGCGGCGGCGAGCAGAACCCCCCAGGATGGGGCAGTGGGATGCTTGGTGCCCCCCGTTATGAAACCTCTCCGTGGAGCATCACGCGCTTGCGCGCCTGCCTCAGACCCATGCGGCCGAGAGCCCGCGAGGATGTAGAACAGCAGGGACACAGCGCAGCAACACCACTGCCCACCCCGCGGGACGAGGGCACGACGCCCGGGCACTCACCTGGCGCGAAGCCGAGCAGCGCCAGCAGCAGCGCGGGCAGCCGGGCTGCGCTCCTGGCCAAGTCCCCCTCCATTCCTGCTCTGTGCAGCTCCGGTGGGCAGAGTCAGCGGCGGCAGAGATGGGGAGGAGGAGCAAAGCTGCCGCTCACTGCAATCCGTAGGCAGCCAAGCATCGTGGAGCGCTGCGCGCCTCTTAATTAGCTCGTGGGAAACGAGCGGGTGTGCGGGACCTGCACTGCATGATGGGGGGGGGGAGGCGTGGTTGAGACCCCTGGGCTCTCAGCATCCTTGGTACCCCAATCAATGAGCAGTGCTCCAATTAACAAGCCGTGACCCAATTAATGCTGGTGGCACTCAGCGAATCCCTGCCCCTGGTCCCCACCAAAGGGCAGCTCTGCAATATTCATAGAACCACAGCAGGAAGCCTAAATTGACCCCAAAACTCCCTAGCCCCAACTTCCGCCTCTTTTCATTCAAAGCCATTCCCTCTCATCCCATCACTACCAGATCACGTCCAAAGTTGCTCCCATTCCTGTTTATGAGGTTCTTTCAACCCTTTTTCCTGGGCACATCCCACACCCAGCTGGGCTGAGCTTCTCTGGGTGAAGAAATCAGCACGGGAGGGGATGCAGAGTAGGAATCCTCCCCCCCAACCCATCACAGCCCCACATTGGGTGTCAGCCATCAGCACCTCAGCCACCGCATTTATTTCAAGCCTCCAACCAGCCAAGGACAAAAAGAGAAACAGCCTCAACACTGCGTCTGTCTTTCGGCTGAGCCGAGCATTAGGGAAGGCTGCTGGCTGCTCTGCACCTCCAGCAAAATAATTAATGTGCCCCCGAAGGGATGTTAATGGCAGGCCTGCTCCCAGGGCACCTTCAGATGAGGATGCTCGAGGTGCTGGGCAGAAGGATTGCTTGTGGCCTCATGGCTGCCTCCCAGGTTCAAGGCTCAGCCAGGGCTGTCCCATCCCTCAATTCCTCCCACATCCCTTGCAGCTAAGCAGGATGCAAAAGCTGCTGAGCAGCAATTTTCAGATGATGGGGGAGAGCAGCTCGCCCCATGGGAAGTAAGACAGCTGAGGAAAAAAAGAGGTTGAAGGCACCAGGCTGCACAGCACAGCCAGGATGCAATCCTACAAGCATCAGGGTGTGGATACAACCAGAGCTCAGCAGCCTCACACCGCAACCCATGCATTTGAGCCCCACATGGCCACATCCAGCTCAGGGAGCTCGGGGCCAGCACTGCTGACGTGCCAGGCTGCACCCTGAGCACCCAAACCCTCCTGCATTGTCCCCGTGTGCGCAGAGTCCGGGGCTGCCGCAGGCAGGGAACGCTTGTCAGAGGCAGGGAAGTCACACAGCTCGCTGGGAACTCGGCTCAACGTGACCGCAATCAGTCACTTCACCCACAGGGAGGGAGGGGAAAAGCACTGAAGCTCTTCTCAAAGCTGGGAACAGTGCACTTGCACCAGCAAGGGGGCCACGTGAGCTTCAAATTAGTTAATTTTTGTGATCCCCAGCTATTGCTGGGCGAAGGACTGCTCCTCCACCAACACCAACCACAGTTTGATCTGCTCCCCAGCCAGAGCCATTGGCTCAGACCTGTGGCTGAGCCTGGGGGAAGCCACTTCTCATCACTGCAGCTGCAGCGATGGCGACAATGCCTGCACAAAGCAGGGACTCAGAGCAGTTCCATGCACCCAGAACAGTGTCCTCAGGGGACCCTCACTGTCCTCACCATCCCCCCACACCGCCACCAGTACATGTTTAGGGGACACTGAAGTCACTGTGCACATCCAGGCTGTGCCTGCAGGATTCCAAGCGCTGCACTGCCCTGCTGGACTCGGGGCTTTCTCCCGGGTGAAGCCTCCTCTTGAGCAGGATCAACTGTGAGGTTGTGGCTTTCCAGCAGAGGGGAGTGCAGCCTCAGGAATGGCCGTACCTCTGCCGATATCCACGCAGTCAGGCAGCAGAAAACAGGTCATTTGGGGGGAGAATTTAGCAGGTGATACCACATCAAAGGGGCCAGATCCCAGAGCCATCCTCACACTCCCACTTCAGCCCATAGCACAAGGGCAAACCAGGTCAGCAATGAGAGGCACCGCATGCAGCAAAACGGTCCCAGAAAACCCTGCATGAGGTGCTGAAGGGTTTAATCATTGCCAGCCTCACTGACTCGCAGACCTGATTTCCACACGTGGCTGCAGTGAAGGCTCCATTAGCGCTCACTGAGTGCAGGCATGCTGCTGGGGACAGATCCTGCTCTGTGCCTCCTGTGGCCATTCAGGTCAGCTCCAAGCAGGCAAAACCTCATCTGAAAACCAAGAGGAGCACAGCTCTGCATCTCATTATCTAATTAACAACAACAAAATTCTATCTGTGGGTAACGATTCGAACTCCTGGCCTCTGTGGGGAGGAAGCACGCAAGCACAGGCCCAAATATACAGCAGATATTTTGCTCCTCAAAAAGAAGCTGGGACACTGTGAAAACACAACAGGCTGCCACGTACACATCCAGCAAAATAGGCCGCGGCTCGACATAAGTGCTGCCTGAGGCCACGCACGGAAGGGAAGCGGTGTTTTATTATTTATCACTGACAGGAATAGAGATCCACCTGCACACAGCCCCCGGGGCCCAGGCCTCAGTAGCACCACTCCGCCTTTCGCAGCATGGCCCAACTCCACCTCACCACCTCACAGCAGAGGCCTACGGGGGTCCCAGCGCCCCCCACGCCTCACCCTCCCCCAGCACACGGTCTCCTCGGAACTCCCCCGCCTACGTGAGCCCCAGCCTCGACTCTCAGCAGCCCTCCTGCCCCGCTGCCCAGGCCCAGGCCCAGGCCCAGGCCCAGGGGCTGCCATTACCCCCCCCCCCCCTTCCCCGGCCACAGCCGGGCGCACACTGATGACGCACAAAGCGCGCGCCGCCACGGCGCCTCGCTTTCGCTCTCTCGAGGCGATGCCTGCTAAGTCTCGCGGGATTTCCGACACTATAAATAGCCCCACGGCGAGGGGCTGCGCTCAGTGCCCGCCCAGTTGGGGGCGGGGGAGGAGGGGTGGGGTGGCTGCGCTGTGCGAGGCGCCCCTGCGGAGGGCTGGGGCTTGGAATTGTCGGGTCTGGTGGCTCTGTGTCCTCTGTCAGTCCTTCGCTGCTGTCCCCTCCTGTACCGCCTGACGGGTCCCCCTCACTGAGGAGCCCTCGTGCGCATCGTTTTCCCCTTCATCTCTCCCCATGTGGTGCCAGCCTGGACCTGCAGGCCTTGGGCTTATTTCAGAGGGTGCTGGTAGAGCTGTGTCTGTTTTAAACACACACAAAAAGCATATTTTGGCTCAACTGCTGTGCTCAGTCCTGCTCCTGTGTGGTGGTGTGCCCAGCCCTCCTGTCGGTGCTCTCCAACAACCTGCTGATTTATTAGGAGCGAAATCAGATGAGATTTTATCACTGGGTTGGGTGGCAAAGGGCAGGAAGATTAAATGACAGAGGGCAGGGATGGGAACAGCACGCGATCCTTGGGCTCTGGGAAGCAAATGATGATTTTCTTGCGAGATCTTCACTTTTTTGCCCCGCTGTGGTTTTCAGGGCAGCTGGGAGTGTGATTCAAGCCCCGATGACGGCTATGGGGCTGCTGCTCTGCCAAAAACTCGTGTTTGGAGAACTCCAGTTCCCAAGGCTGCCCTGACTGCTGCCAGCCCGCATCCTGGCCTTTCACGTCCCCCAGCCATGGGACAGGGGATGGGGACAACCCCTGGGCTTTGCAGCGAGCAGAACTGCGGTCAGTTTCTCCCCACCCCGTCGTGTTTCCCCGAAATGCGGCCGTTCCCTCTTTGCAGTGCAGCGCGAATGAAGGCGAAGTGAAACATCACCTCCCCGGCTCCTCGTGAGGCTGAGCTGCGCCGTGGCCGCGGGGAGGAAGAGAGAGGAGAGGGATTTCTGCGGAGCTGAGGAGGCGGTGAGCTCGCTCCATCCCGCGGAATAAATGAGAATCCATCTCAGCATAAATGAGCTGCGCTGCGAGGAGGGAGGGCTGCGTCCTGGGGAAATGCGGCTGCCTCCTTAGCGAGGTGGAAGCACCCCCAGGGCCTGAATTTCAGAGCCAATCTCATCTCCAGGTGTGAATTCACAGCTCTGGGTGATGGCCAGGGGAAAGCTGCCCACGCTGCGCTCCTTATCGCAGCCTTTGAGTTAAAGGGGTTATGGACAGCAGAGAAACTTAATGCCTCCCCCTCCCTTCTTCTCCATCTCTCGGTGCATCCATCCCATGCTTCCATCCATCCACCAACCGCACTCTCCACGCTCCAGCAAAAGCCATTAAGAATGACAAAGCACCTTTTTGTTTTAAAGATGGGTCCCGGGAGCAGCAGGCAAATTGCCTGGTTCATGCATAATAAACCAGGCGTGGAAACACACAAAGTAATAGGCTACATTTGTAGGGAAACAAAATCATTAAGCGAGAGCCTGTTTGCAGGCTTGTCTGCGGGAAATAAAACGCAGTGAGGATGGGTGTGGAGGGGCTGCCAGCGTGCCCAGCCCCACTTGGCACCGGCTCCTGCCAAAAGCTTGGGCAAAAAATGGGTCAGCACCAGCACGTCCCATCCCTGTGTCCTCCTGGTCCCCATCAACACCCACGTCCCCATCAGCAGAGCCCCCAGCACCACCCCGAGCTGCTCCTGCAGAACAAAGGCAAACTGCTGCCCCGTTGTTTCTTTTTTTTTTTTTTTTTTTAACATTTATATTTATATATATATAAAAAAATTAAATATATATAATATATCGTGTTTAAGACTAAAAATATAGTACATAATATTTAAAAAAAAGGAAAATGGAAAATAAAAAAATGGCGGGTTTGGGGGGCAGGGTAGGGGTCACAGATACGTGTCTCTAGGGGAGGGTGGGAGGGG